GAAGCACGCCGGGTGCCACTGCCGGGAGTAGCCCGCCCTGTCGGCATACACCACCGGGCAGTCCTCGGGCACTGCCTGCTTGCAGGTCTCGCAGCGCTGCAATAGAGACAGTGCGGTGAGCATGGGCATGCACCGTGCTTAACCCCACAGCTGGTTAAAAGCACAGTTAGCAAAACACAACACCACAATCTCCAAGCACATCCTCAGTGCTTCCCACTTCTACATAGCCTGGGGGACCTGCTATGTCCCTGCTCGACTTTCCATAGCACCAAGGAGGACCGCGGAAATAAAACGTTTAATTCCAGGACTGCTAAACTGTGTGACTTAGGTTGCTTTCATTTAAGCTCTTGTTCTGTGAAGGGAATCTTGAGAATACCAAAGCCCGACTTCACAGCTGTATCACCAGTCTGAAATGAGGCTATAGAAACAGTGCAGTGAGGTGGAAGAGCAAGGAAATGCTAAACTGAAGAGAAAAAGCAAAGGTCGCAGCTCAAGAGAAGTGCTGGGAAAACATCTCAATTGTGCAGTAGGACTCAGACAACACAGAGCATCACAGGGCACCCACAGCCAACAGAACCAACACCTTTCAGGCTACCACTTCACATCCTGTGCAAACATTTGGACCAGTGCTATGTATGGACAGACTACCAAGATGCAAAATAATTAAAAGTCATTATAAATATATATTGGCTAGTCTTCCCCTGGAATACTGTTTACTTTTGTCCACAGCCAGATCCAGGCAGGTAAGAATAGCACCACTGCCCACCATCAGCTACGTGTCTGGCCTTTGCGACCCACGTCCCCAGACTAAAACCAAAATCACCAAAATGCAAAGGTTCTCTGAGTTAATAAGAGATCCTACAGTGCCGAAGCACAGCATGCCAAAGATGTTATTTTGCATAGAGATTAGAGACTTGGTTCTTTTCTCACTGTGTTTTAATCTATACATCTATGCATAAGACAGATGTCACTTTCAGCACAGTGCTTCCAATTTATAACAGCCCAATTATTAGACTTGGTTAATCTGAAGATTAATTAACATTTATGCCCATTACACACAAGGCCAACTGGGTTTACTCTTTATCTGTGCCTGCAGAGTGATCCTGTGATTAGGTTAGAGCAAGCTTTAAAGCTCTCCTCTCCAAGGCTGACAGTTGATGAGCTGTTATTTAAATTCCCATTTAAGTCTGGATAGTCCAGGTCAGGCTAACAACTTGGAGCCTGTGCTTTGTCACTCCCTAAACAAAACACTCTTAAGTAGCGGCTGGAGTCTCTTCCAGCAGAGCCCTTGGCTGCAGGGCCAGACTTCTACTAGCAGTCTGGTGAAGGCTTTTACGGAAACAAGATGCAGTGTGAAGCAGCTTGTGTGTCGCATGTGTTGTGGTTTTAGCTGCTGTGCCCAACCAGACTATTTGCATGGCCTTGTTCCCCCCCCAGCATGCTCCTGGCAGCACGAGGTCAGGAGTTTCCCTGCATTCGGGTGATGAATTTGCTTACAAACGCTCTGATTTAAGGCAACAAGCTTCTAAAACGTGGGTAGAAGAGACACAAAAACAAAATTTCTCAGTAAAAGGTAAATACTTCCTGAGCTGAAGGAGAACATCAGGGATGGGGCAGGAAGAGAAGAGGGGGACATCCCACAGGGCAGCTGCGGTCCACAACCTGAGGAACACCACCCTGATGCCACAACAGTCTGACAAACTCACCCCCACGATCCTCCCCCATCAGGATCCCCAGTAAAGCAGCAGCAGAAACAGCTTCTCTGGGGCACAGTGGGAGTGGGGCTTCTCCGTGAGCTCTGCACATGTCAAACCAAAAGCAAGTTTCCCACCACATCCAGCCCCTTTTGCTAGTTCATGGTCTGACTGCCAAAGAGACCGTTCTTTGCATCTAGGGAGTTTTCTTAACCTCATTTTGCCCTTTACACAGCAGAAGGCTACAGGCCTATCTACACCCACCAAGTGGCTTTTCTTTGTTTTGTTGCTGTTATTTCTAGCATGCCTCGCTATTGCCTCCTCCTTGGTTCAGTCTGGATTTTCATTAGCTGTCCCACAGTCCTTGGAGTGGTTCCACCACGTTGATGGGCATCTCCTATTTTACCAGGAAATCCAACATGACTAGTGAAGGCGGCAATAGAAGAGAGACAAAATGTTTCCTGGCTTGGCTTTTCTGTGAGTCTGAAAGGGGATATGTCTGCTTACACCGCTCCTTCTGCTGCAAAGGGCTTCAGACGAGTTTCTAAGTACTCCCAAGACCCACGCCAATGAAGGAGTAAGCTCAGCGGCGCAGAAGACGTGCTATTTCTGGTCTGTATGAACAAGAAAACAAGTACATGGAGCTGCCATGCTTGCTGTGGAGCACTGCTCCTGCACACCAGCCTCGCTGGCAGTGATGGCAGGTGGACATCGGTGGATTCTACACCCATTGTATGGGACTGAGGCCATATTTTTCCCTAC